GGGTTGGAAAGGCGAGAGTATAAAATGGGAACTTATTGTGCCATAAGTTGTAGTTCAGTACACAATCCTTGGAATACGTATTGTTAAATCTTTCTGTACCGTCGGCGGTGAAAAAGAACATAGTTTTCATTTGATTCTATTTTCTGAATATGCGATGGTTCCTTAAATAAGGTAACAAAATCTACGGTCTCACTACGGATTCAGATTTCATATGTTGCAGAAAATGAATCAACGGGGTACATAATGTCGGCAAATTTAGAGTCTAATTAAAATTCATTCAAGTCGTTTGAGACACCATTTTGGTTATCTGCTGACAAAGACTTGTGTACAAGTCTGAGAGTTCGTGATTGCCTAAACAAGGCAGAATCAGTGTATCAGTTTCGCACATTTCGTTGGTTATAGTCTAGACATGGACTGAAATTGGGATCCAGGGTCTCGTTTCCCAAATGGCGGTAGCGATAAGGTGATCTTAACTCCTATACGTTAACATGGACTTACGACAGTTGTGGAGCTGACATCCTCAAACTTGCATTGTTTTCAAAATGATACCGTCGCGCACAGGTGATCGTTACACCTTCGTCTTATTGCTGTTCATTTGCTGTTATCCTGAAGTTTACATTGTTTCAATAAAGCGATCGCGTTGCTAAGGCAACCGCAGCTTCTATACTTTAACGTAGACTTACGGACAGTCATGTTGCTGCAATTCCGACGTTTGTGTTGCTGCAGCAAAACGAACTCAGCGCTAAGGTGATCGTAACTCCTGTACTTTGACGTGGACTTACGACAGTCATGTTGCAGTGATTCCGACGTTTGTGTTGCTGCAGCAAAACGAACTCAGCGCTAAGGTGATCGTAACTCCTGTACTTTGACGTGGACTTACGACAGTCATGTTGCAGTGATTCCGACGTTTGTGTTGCTGCAGCAAAACGAACTCAGCGCTAAGGTGATCGTAACTCCTGTACTTTGACGTTGACTTACGACAGTCATGTTGCAGTGATTCCGACGTTTATGTTGCTGCAGCAAAACGAACTCAGCGCTAAGGTGATCGTAACTCCTGTACTTTGACGTGGACTTACGACAGTCATGTTGCAGTGATTCCGACGTTTGTGTTGCTGCAGCAAAACGAACTCAGCGCTAAGGTGATCGTAACTCCTGTACTTTGACGTGGACTTACGACAGTCATGTTGCAGTGATTCCGACGTTTGTGTTGCTGCAGCAAAACGAGCTCAGCGCTAAGGTGATCGTAACTCCTGTACTTTGACGTTGACTTACGGACAGTCATGTTGCTGCGATTCCGACGTTTATGTTGTTGCAGCAAAACGAACTCAGCGCTAAGGTGATCGTAACTCCTGTACTTTGACGTTGACTTACGTCAGTCATGTTGCAGTGATTCCGACGTTTATGTTGTTGCAGCAATGCAATCCCAGGTCTAAGATGATCGTAACTCATGTTCTTTAACGACTTTATCGTAGCTGCGATAAGTTTGTGGAACGGGACGTAGACATTCGAGCAACTGTGGGGAATCGTTCTACCTAAATTGCCGGATTGCGTAATTCTACAAGTAAGACGTCACCTCCATTTGACAGAGCCACTCTACTCAACACGCTCACGACACACATGCACTTAGAGCCTTTATTTCTGGAAAGTTGGAAAAGCATACCAGAGCTTCGAAAAATGGAACTTTTTATCTTCCGAGTGAATTAATGTTGAAATTACTGAGCATGGATCGATACGTGTATCATCCTAAATGAAATTGAAGTGTAATTTGTGATGAAAGTTTCATCTATTAAGCTCAAGATGTCGATGTTGGTGATAGGGCACCACGTTGCCGACGTCACAGGTGACGTGACAATGGCATCACGCCGCCCTGCACTGAACGTTGTCAATTAACAAGATCATCAGCTGATCGACGTACTGGACAAATCACACACTTAAATCTCGTGTACATCAATTGGAGAACACAAACCAAACAATGCATTATCAACTCATCTCTGACTTTCCATTTCCACAAAGGTTATATATCATTATAAAGATTTAAGGTTTTAAAGTTTACACAACAGAGATTGAACATTTCAGTGATATAAATACATGTTGCATTACGAAATGGAGAACAAAGAAGAAAGGTAAACGACAGCACTTTTAGGTGATCTGGGGTTAATCTCGGTGGTACACCACACCACTGTAGGCCAACATGTTCGCCCAGCCAAGTGTCATCTCAGCGCTAATGGTATTCCAGGCCATTAGACCAGTTTCACCAACTGGATATGATGCCGCGATTGACGAACTCAAACTTTACTTTTTATACACTTCGTTTCACTAAAAAAGCAAAGTTGGGTTTGTCGTGGCAGTGATCAGTTTGCAGGAAGTCCGTCCTTGTGTAATGCTTTTAGACAGAAAAGCTTAAAAATCTTGAATAAATATCACATCCGCGCATTTTAAGTTATTTTGCTTTGACAGGATCGCTTTAACGCAATCGAATGAAGATCCGAAAAAGGGATGGGGGGGAATCTAGTTCCGCTGACGAATCAGCGTTGACGTAAAGGAAGTGGTCAAGTCTGGTGCTGACCTAAGGTGTCAGTAGCATCCTGGTGTACAGTTACAGTTAAACTAACGCTTAGTCTCTGAAGACATATAATTTAGTTGAAACAAATAATTTCCTGTAAATTGGAAAGGAGACCCAGTGCCTGAGGAAATCTAGACGCTTCGTTTAGGGCATTTACATTGCAGAAAGGGCTGGGCGGAAGGGAAAATAGTGACTTTAAAGGACTACGAAACAGACTAGATCGCAGTCTCTGAAACGCATTATTCTCCGTTCCCCCAAGCCCTCACCATAAAGCAAAAAACCTAAGTGAAGCATGTCTAGATTTCCTCAAGTCCTGAATCTCTGAGTACACTGGAGGTCCGTTTCAGTTTAAATGGATTTTTTTGTTTCTATCAAAATGGTATACATTTAGAGACTAAGCGTTAGTCTAACGGTCAACCGATGCTGCCACATCGAACCACACCACTGTCATGCCTGCCCTATGTTGAGTAATTCGCAATGGTTATGTATACAAGTAGTGGTTTATATACGGAATTCCTGGAAAGAAAACTTTGGTGTGGTTTTAAGTATTGTGAGAAAAATCGTTTTAACAACGCTTTGATGAGTATTTCAGCCAAGTTAGTTTAATTTTCGAAGAAATCCAGCAATGATGTAGGATTTAGACATTTATAAGATTTGATGCGGTGATGACAAACGAAGAAACTCAAAGAAATGCATTCGGGATTAACAGGCGATACAGGAGTAGGTGAAGCATAGCCTCTGCTACTTGCTCTTTGCCCTCTACTCCCCTAATCCCACTGTAGGCATTAGTGCACACTAACTGGTACAGTCCACTTGTGTGCAGGTAAGCGTTTCGCTGTCACAACAAACTTTGTAGCTATTATTCCCTGTAGCTATTTCCCCTGTAGGCATTAGTAGACCAAACCTGTAATTTAGCATGTGTAAGGGTGCAATTATTCAAAACGATTTGCAGCCCTTACACGACTGGATCGTCAATGTCTGTATATTTGTACGTAAGAAAATATACCTTCTCTCTATCACATGTACATTTCGAGAGCAACGTTGACTTGATGTGTCTCCAAGACCCAAGAGAAACAATAAAGAAATAAATTCAACTCACGTCCAGAATGCCTCATCTTTTTTCTTAACTTTTGACTATTTAGTTAAAATTAGCTATTTAGTTATAAATTCAAAACAAGCCCCGAAAACACTGAATTATTTCGGGGACCAAATATTAGTCTCACGACTGTGCCCAGTTATGCGAAAACGGTCTTAGTTCAAAGTGGGTAATTACATCCGATATATATATACTTCGTAGATTTGAGATCGCTTTACCGAAGGATCAACAGAGTACTTCCCACATTTTAATAGACCCTAGTTCTGAGGAATAAACGACAGCCTAAAGTCTCTGTGGGGAACATAGACTAACAACTAGTCTCTGAAATGAACATATTTTACAGAAAAAAGCTCATAGTGAAAAAAAATAAAATATAATCAAAAGGAGCCCTGAGACTTCCTTGTCTAGACTTGCGTGGGCTTTCTTGGATATACATGTATTTGCTTCAGAGTCTCTATGACAGACTATCGGGAACAGTATTAAGCTGAATGCAACTGATTTCCATGCGGAGGTATGGCAATGCTTCAGCTTGAAGGAAAATTTCTTTTTCAATGATTGATATTCAAAGTTTGTCTTTCTTTTTCATGTTCGAAATAAAACCAGCTCGTATGATTCTCCCGCAAGTTTAATTATTCCAGGGAGTGCTTGACTGGAGCTATGTTGTTAAATGACTACACCTTTATGGCCTAGTAAACGTTTATCGTACAAATACGCTGGTTGTTCTCTCCATCGATTAACGAAAGAAATTTAATAACATTTCCATGTTGCTGACATCGTCGAGTGCGGAAACAAACTTTGTGACATTTGCAAGGAAAAAAATATAGTTGACTTAATGAATTCTTCAAGATTGAATTATATTTTTATTGGTCTCCAGGTAACCTACACCGCTAAGCCTCTGCTGGTTTTGTTATCCTTCATCTGTTGTTAAACCACTTTTAGTGTAGTCGCCCCGAAAGTTAACCAGAGCAGTAAACGGGAATATGTCAGCGTTTCGAGTCATTTGCCAGAGGATAAGGAATTCTCTTTGTGAAATAAAGAACTTGATTGCTACAAGGGCCATTTGAATGGAAATAACGAACCCAACAAAGTACCATTGTTTTAAGGACCATTTCAATCAGTTGGTGAAATTTGCTCCACTAGTCGGGAACATTCCATGCCTTATCCAATAATTAGCACTTAAAATTAGTACGACGGTAACTCTTTCAAGCCATGTTTCAATGCCTATTCGGAAAGTGCCCGTACGTAAACCGAACCTGTCGGTACCGTTGAGGTTCTCTTGATGTTCCAGTTGTCGGAAGGGAGATAGCATCTTGCTTCGCGATTGCACATGTCGGCGGAATTCATCAAGGCATTCCGCAGTGCCGGTGTTTGAAATACCTGGGGTAAATGTATTGGTTCTGTGTAACAAGGATTACTGGGATGTTTTACATGGGTAATATTTGTTTTCGCCCAATGTGACATTTTGTCTACAGGTGGAACAATAACCCCCTGTTGAGAAATGCACGTGCAATCCGTGCAGCACGTGGAGTCGGAGGTCATCAGTTGCTTAAGGCATTAGAGGTGTCATGGGCGCCGCCAAGGGTGGTCTTCTAATGATTTCGCATGCTATCTCACACGTTGCGTTTGATGAAATAATTGGGATAGAGAACCGCAAAAATGTCATGAGTTGACGATTAAAGACCACATGCATTCGAATAATTGCCACATAAATGTGTTCCTTGTAGCTGGATGAGGCTTATCATACATGAAATATTCAGTTATCAAAACCCTTTCACTTATTGATGACAGAAAATGTTATTTTAATTCACCAAGCTTTTTCACATGTGTTTATTTCAACAGAGGATCGCAAATGTAATCTGAATTAGCTGTAAATGCATATGGAATCTTTTAGGAATCCAATCAATCATGTTGAAAAACTTTCAGTGGGAATTTATTTCAATGCTGGAAAAAAGAAAACCGCTCCAGATACAATGGGGATGCTTCTAGTTACAAGGTTGTACATGATAGCATGGGCAGAATGGTTCTGAAAAGCTTTGACATGAAGTTAAACCATCACTGTAGCATGTGGCAGTATGTACTTCCTTTGATGTGTAATTGAAAATCACTTCAAATTTAAACAGGTTAATTGAATTTTCAGCTGCATTCAGGTGTTCTGCTCCCCAGCCAATGAGCAGTTGATGAGGAAACTACATCATTTTCCTGATCAGGGTGGGGTGGGGTAGCCTAGTGGTTAAAGTGTTGGCTGGTCACACCGAAGGCCCAGTTTGATTCCCCACATGTGTACAATGTATGAAGCTTATTTCTGGTGTCCCCCCACCGTGATATTGCTGGAATATTGCTTAAAGCAGCATTAAAACCATACTCTCTCATTTTCCTGATATGTGTTACTTGAACTTGTTAATGATCACTGACAAAACACAGATATTAAGTAATGTATCTTGTTTTATAAAAGAGTTATCATTTTAGCTTTCACCTTTTAAGTTTTGTCAGTGTAGTGATCAATTGATGAAATAGGCACCCGTGAAGATCCGGGTTAGGACTGGTCTTCAGTAACCCATGCTTGTCGTAAAAGGCGACTAACGGGATCGGGGGGCCAGGCTCGCTGGCTTGGTTGATACATGTCATTGGTTCCCAATTGTGTAAATCGATGCTCATGCTGTTGATCACTGGATTGTCTAGTCCAGACTCGATTATTTACAGACTGCCGCCATATAGCTGGAATATTGCTGAGTGGGGTGTAAAACTAAACTCACTGATGAAATAGAGTACATTTAGAAGTATCAAGTTCTGCTGTACTACTTTGAGGGTTCAGTTCATGTAAAGTATCAATTCCATGATGTATATCTATAAATGTGAAAATATTCAGGCTTTGAAATATTATGAAAGTTACCGGATTACTTCTTTGACTGGCATTTTAGAAGTTGGGATGTACAATATAGACAAACTTTAAGGATAACTTCTCTTATTACATGAGTGTGATGTTTCAGAACAGATAAGGTCATTTCTGCTTTGTAACCGAGAATATAGACAAACTTTATGGATAACAACTTTAAATTTGTGATGTTTCTTTTCAGATTCTTGCTTGACAATGGTATGAAAATCTGTAGCAAAATGTTGAACTCATGAAATAAAAAAAGTTATGTGTTATCCATAAAGTTTGTCTATATAGGTACAGGATTGTGTGGACCCGTGAAGATCCGGGGTAGAATAGGTCTTCAGCAACCCATGCTTGCCACAAAAGGCAACTATGCTTGTCGTAAGAGGCGACTAACGGGATCGGGTGGTCAGGCTTGCTGACTTGGTTGACACATGTCATTGGTTCCCAATTGCACAGATCGATGCTCATGCTGTTGAGCACTGGATTGTTTGGTCCAGACTCGATTATTTACAGACCGCTGCCATATAGCTGGAATATTGCTGAGTGTGGCGTAAAACTAAACTCACTCACTCACTCACAGGATTGTGTGACATGAAATTTCGATGGTATGTTCCTAAGGTTCCTAGATCCTTCAGGGGAAACGGTGGCATAGCCTTGTGGTTAAGGCGTTCACTCATCGTGCCGAAGACCAGAGTTCGATTCCCCACATGGGCACAATGCGTGAAGCACATTTCTGGTGTCCCCTGCCATGACATTGGTGGAATGTTGCTCAAATATTAGATTAACCAGTGAGTGAGTATGGTTTTACGCTGATTTTAGCAATATTCCTGCAATATCACGGTTGGGACACCAGAAATGGGCTTAATACTTGTACCCACGTGGGGAATCGAACCCAGGTCTTCGGCATGACGAGCGAAAGCTTTTACCACTAGGCTACCCCACCACCCCAGATTAACCATTAATATTAAAGGATTAGTTGCCCTTTAGGTTTTGTGTAGCATACTATTTTAATGAAGATTCATGTACTGGGTAGTAATGTTTGTTTCTTTGTTGTTTAACGTCGCACTCAGCAATATTCCACCTATATGGCAGCTGTCTGTAAATAATTGAGTCTGGGCCAGACAATCCAGTGATCAAACAGCATGAACATTGATGTACACATTTGGGATACGATGACATGTGTCAACCAAGTCAGCAAGCCTGACCACCCGATGCCGTTAGTCGCCTCTTACAACACATATGAGTATTGATCAGTACAGACATAGCCTGTTTGCTGTTTTTGAAATCATGTGCCTGTTTAATTATTTTTAAGATAAAACAGAAAAGTTCAAATAAATAAAGGTTATTAACAAAATTATCAAATAGGTTATTTTGTCAAACATTTTTTTCAAACCATAACAGCTTTTTGTTTTAATTCAGTATTGAAATTTTGGTGTCAAATGAAGTATGAGGCTATTCAGCATGATCAACACGACTTTCTGTGTATGTGCAGCACTACCTTTTGATCAAGTAAGCGACATATTGTAAATATTGGCTTTATACAATGTGTTAACAAGAGCTTGTTTTCATAGGCTCTACCCCTTCAGTTAACACAGTTTCACTCAATACAAGGGTGGAGAATATCGACAAATGTTTTGAGTTGATTGTTACGTTGCGTCACTTTAGAAGTGTTTATCTTCCTATTTGTGTAGATCTGACTTAACATTTATTTGAAGGAGCTTCGACAAAATAGAACCATATTTGTTTTTCTCCATCAATGATCAATCAGCGATGTGAAGGCCAAATGAGAAATGTAATTGTCATTTGTATTAAGCAAACAATCCATGAGTCGTTATGATGAGAATTTGGTGTAAAATTAATCACACAGAATAACAGTGTTTACTGGTAAATCAAAACGGCTCCATCATTTCTTTCGTTTCAGTCAAAAGAGTTCTATTGACCGCAGGACATTGATTGGGCTCTTGAATTCGTCTACTTGCTTCAATATGCGAAAACATGGAGGAATTGTCTGTTTAAGGACCTGTGGAATTTCCAGTGATCTGCATCATACAGTCCAAACAAAGCAAGGTGCCATGGGACTCCAGGGGTCATTCAAGGTCAAGCTATCTATTGATCAAGGTGCGTACTCTTGGAAGTGGAGATAGCTTTATTTATTACATGAAATTAGATATGTTATTATACAATATTAAATGTTATGATATCATTTATATGTGAAAAATAATGGGATAATAACAAGCCCTTGACACGTTTATGGTGCAGATGTCTATTTATCGGATCCAGGTGATTCAGATATGTATCAAGGGGTGTTTATCTGGTTTATTGATTATTAACACTTGTATGAAGTGCGCATTATCACAACTGTTTGGTTGATAGTGTTTATATAAGGACACACTCGTTTTTTGCTTCTGCATTCCAACTCAGAGCTTTCGGCCATTGCCGTATTAAGTTCAATATTGATGGCAAAAAGCAAACTTACTCTCGTCAGATATAGGGTTAAAGGGTTATTTATTGTATGTAAAGATGTACGATGTATAAAGCTGTATATCATTGTCACATATGGACATATTATCGAAAACATGCCTGACTTGACATTTAAAGTCGATAGAAGTTAGTGGCATGAACACTTTAGGGCAAGAACCTTCCATGATCAATGCAAATACAGTACACAGTGCCCAGACTGTCTTGTGGAACAGGCTGGTTCCAGAACAAATGACCCAGAACTTCAGATATGTTTGTGAAAAATAATTTTCAAAGAAGTTCTGACATTTACCCTTCACATGAGCAAGGCTTTAATATTACTGACTGACTGACTGAGTTTGGTTTTACGCCGCTTTTAGCAATATTCCAGCAACATCACGGCGGGGGGACACCAGAAATGGGCTTCACACATTGCACCCATGTTGGGATTCGAACCCGTGTCTTCGGCGTGACGAGCCAACGCATTAACCACTAGGCTACCCCACCGCCCCTTTAATATTACTAAAAGTGGTACGAAATGGTCATCACTCTCCCGATGTTCTGCAGTAAATCAACTCTGGCATAAGTTGTGAATGAAATTCTATTATGTGCTAAATGTTGGTGGGTATTCCCCAGAGTAGGAACTAATCCCATCTGTACTGTCTACACTTAATCTTTGTCCAGACACCAGTAATTATCAAATCTCAAGTGTCAAATTGTCTGCTATATAATTTAAAGGTCAGTGCTTTGGTAGAAATCTCGAATGGTGCTTTTGAGAAAATCTACACATGAAATGTGTGGCAAGTCTACAAGCCTACATTTATTGTAAATATATTTTTATAACATTGAGCATTTATGTTGAAATTGTCTTGTGAAAGTAAGGATGTGTGTAATGACCAAGTATTGAAACGGTCTTGTGGGAAATAGTTTTACATGTCGCATACACGTCAGGCGTGACATATACTACTATCATCATATGTCATCAGATATGAGGTAAGCTAGTGTTGAAGGCAGAAGCTCGTCACACCAAATGTTCAGGTTCAATTTCCACATTGATATGGTATGTGAAACTGATGTTTGGTGTCTCTCTGCCAAGATGTTGCTATAATATGTATATGCCACCCTCACCACATAGAATGTTGTTCACAAAAGTTTACTCATGATATGTATTCTGGGAACTGATAAAATGATAGTGAAGGTATTATATGAATCAATGTAAATATATTCTGGGTGTATTAATCAATATATTGCATGTCCATCAAATTAGGCAAGTCATGCATGGCACCTTGATCACAATCGTTGATGAACTTGTATATGGTTCCCATGGCATTACCTGCCATTCTGCCAAGGAAACCTCCCCTTACTTGGGCCATGGTGGCAGGTGTTGGGTCTCCCAGACTTTCAGCCCAAGATGCTGGTCCCACAGATGCTCTGGCGGGGACATGTTACAGGACTTTCCATTCCATTCTAATGCCTGTCTGGCTCTTCATCAGAGATAACTGGTGATGATGACCTGGGCACCACATGGTCTGGCTTTGCTTTCTTGCAGTTAAAAATTTCTGCTGATAATTCTAAAGAATGGAACAGCAACATGGCAGAACATTTCTTTAACATATTACTGTCCAGTCAATGTCTATTCAAAATAACAGGATTTGTTTGCCTGTCAGTTTTGATATTGCCCCCCACCATGTCACTAGCACTCTATCATGGTAAAGACTTATTGCCCTGTGATACCACTAACTGCTTTGTATTTGTCCATCTGAACACAGGTGACCGCCTCTGTGGTGTAGTGGTTAGAGCGTCCACCCAGAGAGCGGAAGGTCGTGGGTTCGATCCCCGACCGCGTCATACCAAAAGACGTTAAAATATGGTACTTGTTTGTTCCTACCTGGCCCTCGGCATTAATGGGAACAACAAGGACTGGTCGGCTCGGAGTCAGTATAATGTGTCTGAGTGGGGTATTCATGCTTCACTGCAGCATGGTATCTCAGTGGGCTAGCACTATAAAACCAGCTTCAGACTGGGCTAGTACAAGCAGCCGCACATACACATGCATGCACGTCGTCATATGAGCGAAATATTCTCAAGCACGACGTTCAACCCAATTTCACCTCACCTCACCTCTGAACACTGGTGAAACTGCATTGGGTTACTGCATTGGTGCATAGCAAGTCCATAGTATGGCCCAGCCCAACCCAATCTAACACAGGTGGTTAGCTCCCAGGGTCGCATCCTGCACTGGATGACCTGTTTTCCAGGATGGCTGCAAAGAGACAGTTTTTGATTGGGGATGTTTGAATTGTCTTCTTGGTATTTAATGAAATGCTTTCTTGCCTACGGGGGCAGATTTCAATAATTGAATAGTGCAATGAATGTTATAGGAGGAACTTTAAGATCTGGATGTCAGTTGTTTGGGTCTGCCACAACCAAATCTCATTGCAACCCGACCCAGATCTCATTGAAACACCACCCACTGCAACACCATCAAGACCTAATTGCAACCCCACCCAGATCTCATTGAAACACCACCCAGATATCACTGCAACACCACCCACTGCAACACCATCCAGATCTCATTGAAACACCATCCAAATCCCATTGCAACCCCACCAGATCTAATTGCAACCCCACCCAGATCTCACTGCAACCCCAACCAGATCTCAATGCAACCCTGTCCAGATCTTATTGCAACACCACCCACTGCAACATCATCCAGTCTCTCATTGAAACACCATCGAGACCTCATTGCAACCCCATTCAGATCTAATTGCAACCCCACTCAGATCTCAATGCAACCCCACCCAGATCTCAATGCAACCCCACCCAGATCTCATTGCAACCCCATCCAGATCTCATTGCAACATTACCCACCGCAACATCATCAAGTCTCTCTTGCATCCAGATCTGAAACACAACCTCATTGAAACACAATCCAGATCTCAATGCAACCCCATCAAGCTCTCATTGCAACACCACCCACCTCAACATCATCCAGTCTCTCATTGAAACACCATCCAGACCTCATTGCAACCCCATTCAGATCTCATTGCAACAGGATCCCGATCATATTGCAACACCATCCAGATCCCACTGCAACACCACCAGATCTTATTTAAACTCCACCCAGATCTCATCACAACCCCATCCAGATCTTATTGCAATTCCCACCTAGATCTCATTGCATCACCACCTACTGCAACACCATCCAAATCCCATTGCAACACCATCCAGATCCCATTGCAACCCCACCAGATCTCATTGCAACCCACCAGATGTTATTGCAACCCCATCCAAATCTCATCACAACCCCACCCAGATCTCATCACAACCCCACCCAGATCTCATTGCAACCCACCAGATGTTATAGCAACCCCACCCATATCTCATCACAACCCCACCCAGATCTCATCACAACCCCACCCAGATCTCATCACAACCCCACCCAGATCTCATCACAACCCCATCCAGATCTCATCACAACCCCACCCAGATCTCATCACAACCCCATCCAGATCTCATCACAACCCCATCCAGATCTCATCACAACCCCACCCAGATCTCATCACAACCCACCCAGATCTCATCACAACCCCACCCAGATCTCATCACAACCCCATCCACAAGATCTCATCATCACAACCCCACCCAGATCTCATCACAACCCCATCCAGATCTCATCACAACCCCATCCAGATCCCATTGTAACCCCATCCCAGATCTCATCACAACCCCACCCAGATCTCATCACAACCCCACCCAGATCTCATCACAACCCACCAGATGTTATAGCAACCCCACCCAGATCTCATCACAACCCCACCCAGATCTCATCACAACCCCATCCAGATCTCATCACAACCCCACCAGATCTCATCACAACCCCAGAGATCTCATCACAACCCCATCCAGATCTCATCACAACCAGATCTCATCACAACCCCATCCAGATCTCATCACAACCCCACCCAGATCTCATCACAACCCCACCCAGATCTCATCACAACCCATCCCCACATCTCACCCCACCCAGATCTCATCACAACCCCATCCAGATCTCATCACAACCCCACCCAGATCCCCACCCAGATCTCATCACACCCAGATCCCCACCCCAGATCTCATCACAACCCCACCCAGATCTCATCACAACCCCACCCAGATCTCATCACCCCACCCAACCCCACCCAGATCTCATCACAACCCCACCCCAGATCTCATCACAACCCCATCCAGATCCCACCAGATCTCCAACCCCACCAGATCAGCCCTTCTCATTGTAACCCAGATCTTATTGTAACCCCACCCAGATCTCATCACAACCCCATCCAGATCTCATTGCAACCCCACCCAGATCTTATTGTAACCCAACCCAGATCTCATCACAACCCCATCCAGATCCCTTTGCAACCCCACCAGATCTTATTGTAACCCAACCCAGATCTCATCACAACCCCATCCAGATCTTATTGCAACCTCTCCATTTGACAGCACTTCATTTGAAAAAATACCTTTTGACTTGCAAAACATTTAGGCAACTTGGGAATATCCATGCTCTCCTTCTCCTCTCTATAATGACTGCATCACCTGCTGTTTCATGCACAGTGTGATATTTCAGTGTGATTAAATTTTGTTCAAGAGCAGTGCGATGGTTATTCTTTTGT